CCACCTGGTTTCTGAGGATAAATCAGCCTCAGCATCACTACAGCTGCAGACCAATCACAACCAGAGCAGACTGGATGCTAACAGCAGCTCCTCCTCCATCAGGTCTGCTTCATGCTGCTGTGATGGAGCTTTAATGATGAAGACCAGGCGGAGGCGTCGGTTATCCAGGTAAGTTACTGACTGCTTCACCTGAACACAGGAAGCTACCTGGTGATCCTCTAGATTTCCTTCTGTTCACTAAGAACCCATAAAAGGTGCAGCTACCCGGAGCTCCTCAGGGCTGAGGACTCGCTCCTGGAACTTCTCCTCTCGTCAAACAGAGAGCTGTGGTCCATCTGGAGCAGAACCTTCCGGGTTTGAACTACAGGAAGTGAAAGCTGGAGGATCAGAGGATCACCTGCAGACGACGGCAGGAAGACAGAGCGGAACCTGAGGAGCTCCCAGCAGCAGCGGAGCTCCTCAGGTTAGCCACACCAAGCCATGCGCAGGAAACAGGAAGTGGAGGTTTTACCGAGCACGCTGTTCCCTTCAGCCGCAGACGTCTGGGAATCCGGAGGCGTCTGGGAAAGCGACTCCTCGCCAGGAGAGCGCGGAGCATCCGACTGTCCGGCCTCGCCGTTGATGCTCAGGTCGGGACCCAGGACGATTCCGTGTTTCTGCAGAGAGCGGCCATGTTAGCGGCACTCAGACGCTTCAGCAGAACCAGCAGCCATTTTTACAGACTACCTTCAGAACATCCTTCAGCTGCACCACCTCCTCTCTGAGCTCATCGCGCTCCAGGCGGATGGCGTCTGCGTATTCTTTCTGGCGCTCTAACGCCTGACAGAGGCGGTGAGAAGCAGAGCGCAGAGAAAAGGGTGAGAAGGCAGAGGAGGAAACATTTCATGCAAAGAAGGAAGGAGGTGCGTTCAGGGTCAGGATCCGTACCCCCATCTTCTTCTCCTTCCACTCCAACGTCTCCTGCAGGTCGCCGATCTCTCTACGCTGCGCCTCCTGCTTCAGACGCAGCTGACGGATCTCCTGAGCATGAAGGAGGAGGGAAGCTGGGTGACTGGGAGCAGGAGGAGGAGGAACAGAGTGTGCAGCAGAGCATGCAGCGTGTTCTGGCCAGGTCCAGAAGGCGGAGCAGGAGGAGGAGCAGGAGGAGGAGGAGGAGGAGGAGGGTACTCACGTTCAGCAGCTCCTCGCTCTGCTGCAGCGTCTGCTTCATCTCGCTGAACTGGAACTGAAGGACGCTGTGGGCGTGTCTCTGCCGCTCCAAGTCCTGCAGGGACAGCAGGACGTTAGAGGGAGCAGGAACCGACTGACCGCCCATCACAACCAACTCATTATATTTATATATATATATATATATATATATATATATGTCTGAGGGAGGAGCGGGGTGAATGCGTGTGTGTATTTTCAAGTCCTGCCAGGAGGGGGCGGGGTCATGGGATTGCATGAATGATTGAAGACTATATTTGACTTTAGAAAATCCAATACCTAAAACGGCCAGAAGATGGCAGAAGTGCATCTATTTACCATGAACCACATTTCCTCTGATATCCAGTCGCTGCTGAGCGTCGACCTTAGTCGACCTTAACAGGTCAGAAATGAGGCTGGCGCCTGGTTGAGCTAACTTCCTGCTCACCGACTCCATCATCTCTCACCTTGACCTTTTCGTCGAATTCCCGCCGTGACTCTGAGAGCAGCTCCTCCAGCTCCATCAGAGAGTCTTTGAGCGTGTCCACCTGGTACATCAGGTTGTTCTTCTCGTTGTCCAGCTGGGCGTTGGACACCATGGCCTTGCGGTACTTCTCCTCCACTTCTGCCATTGCATCCTGAGGAGGAGAAGGAGCTGGAAGTTAGACTGCGTCCTTAGCTAGAGGAGACGGCGGTGAAGGAAGCCTTCAGAGAAACCTGAGGAGCTACTAAAGAAGCAGAGTGAGTCCTACAAGCTGCAGCTTCATGCTCGCCTCTGAAGGTCGGATTCATCTACCTTCACTTCCTTCAGGTTCTGGAGGTACTTTGCTTCCACGTCCTGAATCTGATCTTTCAGCTCATGGATCTCCTGGTGGAGCCAGCAGCAGCAGCAGCGGTGAAGGAGGAGAGCAGAGAGGAGGAGCAGCGTGGTGATGAAGGAGAAGCAGAGGTCAGCAGGAGGACATGTGACATGGAGGCGGTCAGAACCGGCGCTTCGGCTTAAGAACTGCCATCTTTTCCAGAACCTTCCATGTTCCTCTGAGAACTGGAACATGTCTGGTTCTGAAGAACAGCTCCTGCCGTCCGTTCGCACCTCACCTTGATCTCCCTGATGGAGCTCTCGGCGTCCACGGTCAGAGCCGTCTCTCCGCTCCCTCTGCGGGACGACGTGCCTCCTAAGGAGGTGAGGGTGGCGGCTGTGAGGGCCGACGCTGCTCGAGGTCCCTGGAAGACAAACCACCATCATCTAACAGATCTCCAGGTTCTCTGAGGGCCGCGTTCCGCTCAGAGACTCGGAGCAAAACAGGGAATGTTTCCAAACAGCTGGAGAACATCTGTCTCACCTTTTCAAGGTAGTCTCTGTCCTCCACCTGTGGAGACAAAGGACAGACGGTCAGGACAAGCAGAAGCTGAGAAGGAGGCGTTGGGGTGAAGAAGGTGAGCCGTCAGGTTTGTTTCACATCTCAGCAGCAGATCAATCAGTTAAAGCAGGAGTCGGATCAGAACCAGAACCTCCTGGACTCAGCCAGGTCCGCTAAGATCCACACCGTGCACTGGACTCACGCACGGCCAGGAACTCACTTCAGTGAAGTCAGGAATGGTGACATCATCCAGGTCTCTGCTGCTGACGGCGCTCCTCAGAAAACTGGCCACAGAGCCGTCCTGCTGCGTCCACCAGGGGGCGACACACAGAGAGCAGTCAGAGAGGGACCTGCAGCTGATGGTTATCACTCACAACGACGTGCAGCATGCAGATGTTATCTAGGTCCATCAGGACCGACCTGCTGGACCTGCTGGACCTGATGGACCTGCTGGACCGGAGCTCAGAGGCTAAACAAATATTTGTTTGACTCTGAAGGAATTCCAGGAAGCTGCCAGCAGGGGGCAGTCTTTGCTCCACAGGGACTGAAGGAGGAAACTAGTCAGTCTGGATCTCCTTCATCTCATCAGGCATCTTCATGCAGGACCTGCTGGAGCTCATTCTGGATCTAAACTCCTGATCAGAACCTTTCAGAGCAGGTTCTCACACCCTCTGCCCGAGGAGGAGGAGGAGGAGCAGGAGGAGGAGCAGGAGCAGGAGCAGGAGGAGGAGCAGGAGGAGGAGGAGTCCTCTGGTTCAGGTTAACTGGAGGACAGCAGGGAAGGAACCATTGTTCTAAAGGACGTCCAGTCCTGAGGGGGCGGGGCTAATGAGTTCTACTGAACCAGCTGAGAGGAACCCAGAGGGGCTCCAAATGGAGGGCCAGAGGGTTCTGGTTCTGACCCGTTTCCTCCTCCCAGAGGGGCTCCAAATGGAGGGCCAGAGGGTTCTGGTTCTGACCCGTTTCCTCCTCCCAGAGAGGCTCCAAATGGAGGGCCAGAGGGTTCTGGTTCTGACCCGTTTCCTCCTCCCAGAGAGGNCAGAGGGTTCTGGTTCTGACCCGTTTCCTCCTCCCAGAGAGGTGGGACCTGAGAACCCCAGGGCTCCGGGTCTCCCCATGGGCCTAAGTTCAGAGGAGGTCCAGTAGGACCAGTAGAACCCAGGCTTTCCATTATGATCCATCCCAGAACAAGCTGAGGGCTTTGGACCACCACAGGGATCAGAACGGGTCTTCAGAACCGCAGATGAAGCTCTCTCCATCTGGACCGGATCATGGTTCCTCTGATTGTTCCCGTCTGAAGCTCCTTGGTTCCGTGCTGCATCTGGACCCAACGGGTCACTGAAACCAGTCTTTGCTGGTCTGGTTCCGACCCAGGTTCCCCCGCCCCACCAAGCGGACCGGTTCTACAGAACATGCAGAACAGCGAGCTGCACAAAGACTGGACTCTCACCACTGGGCTGGTCCGGGCCGAACTGGTTCTGCTGGAAGCTCTGGAGCTGCGGTAGCTGCTGTACTCTACAGGCTGCAGGAAGTAGACAGGACACGTTCCGTCACTCTAATAGATGCAGATCTACCTTTACAGCATTCGGACCTTCTGTGGTTCTTACGTGCGACCCGGAGCCGGAGGCTCTGCGGGACCCGCTGCACAGACTCAGACCGTCTTCATGGACAGAACCCTGCAAGAGAGACGGGTCAGAAAAAACCGGGCCGAGGAGAACCGGCTGGGAGGCGGGACGGAACCGAGATACTGGACCCAGACGGGTCCGACCAGAACCGGATCTAAAGACTCCATACAGACCTGATAACCAGCGAAAGACAAGCTGGAGGTTCTGGAAGAGGACGGACCACTGAGTCCATACAGGTCCAAGGAGGCATGAGACGCCTGGGAGGACGAAACGGGTCCGATTAGGAGAACCAGAACCAAACTCAGAACCAGAACCAAACGCATGCAGATCACACCAAACTCAGAACGAGAACCAAACTCAGAACCAGAACCAAACGCAGAACCAGAACCAAACTCAGAACCAG